ATCTAGTTTAATTTAGTTAAAAATTTTAAGTATGGAACAAATAATGATGAATATTGAACTTAATCAAAAATAATATTAAACTTTATAAGCGTAAAATAAATACAATGTATATAAATCATGTTTTGTAATTGTCATTAAATTAACTTGTAAAGAATATCAAGTGATGGAATCCAATATTATGTAAGATCTTTTAATGAAAGAACATTTAGATATGGTAAAATAACAAATAATAATATTATTAGCTTACCAGTTCGCGTGTTTCGAGCAATTGGTCGTAAAATATGTCTGAACATTTTTATTGTTTTTAGATTAAATTCTTTAACTTTTAACGCGTAGATTTCTGCAGCAACAGAAACGGCGAGATATGCACGACACACGATCGATACTGACGATCACAGCGCATGTGCTACTGTGTAGTGCATAGATGGGAAAATCGCTTGTCAAAATGTGTTCCATGTAAATTAGACAAATAAATATAACATATATATTTTTTATGAAAATTGTAACACTTTTGTTATTGATGATATAATCCCAACACGAAGTTTCAATATTTTCATAAATTTATGTTTAAATTCTATAAAACATTCAAACCTTTTTTATATACTATCTAAAATATTTTCATGTATGTTTTCATTAACAAGGAGTAACCTACTATACGTATAAATGAGTAGAAATAAAATTATTTACTACACATTTTGTAATGGTTTATTTCAGCATATTTGAAAAAATATAAATGTTTACGATGTAAATTACATAAAATAAATTTAAATTAATAATTATTTCATTTTCTTTATTGAAAAATTGTTCCTCTGAATTCTCTTTATCTTTTGTTAAATAGTGATTACAAAAGTAAACGATAAAAATACTTATTATCAGGTATGTTTTCAAATAGACAATATTTATAATATTTTTGACTTATACAGCAAGAAGACACAATTTTACATCCGCCATTTTATATTTTTAATATTATTACACTTAATTTGTTTCCGGACGTATATTAATATAATGCCAATTTTGTCGTTTGTTTTTATACATTTACATTGAATTATAATATTTCCAGCTAATATAGCTCAGGAAACAATGCAGTTTGATTTCTCTTGTACATTTCCATCTGCTTTTTCGATTTCAATCAATAATGTATGAAAAATATCTGCAACAGACTGAAACAAAGCAACAGAGTATATAATGATTATAAGCAATTATTAAAAATAAGTAAATAAATTACCTCGTTTTGCTTAGCACTGGTTTCTAAGAAAGCTGCGTGCCAAGAGTCTGCCAACCGCTTACCTTGCTCTGTTGTTATCATTCGATCTACATATAAATCCGTTTTATTTCCTACTAATACAATTGGAACACTGAAATATATAAAAATGTATTTATTGCAAACATTATATATACTTTCAACTTCATCATATAAATTAAAAAACTAAATAACAGATAGCATACTGGACTTTTCCCGTTATATCCAATAACTTGTCATAAATAATTTGTACAACTTCAAAACTCTTTGCACTGGTTATGCTATATACCAAGACATAACCATGGATGTCCATAGAATACTGTGTAGGAAATATGCTATATTCATCTTGACCTGCTGTGTCTACCAACTTAACTTCATAATCTTGACTATTTACTCGAGTACTTTTTGTAAAGGCTGAAAAACACACAAATTAATTGTATAAGAAAATAAGTAAGAATAAAATAGTAGAACCCACATCCTTTAAATTTTTATACTAAATTTTTACAATCTGCTAAATCTTCAATTCAACCTGTATAAGTATATACAATTTTTAAATACAAATGGAATGTGTGAATCTGTTTCCTTTCTTTTTACAAGTTATATTTAAAGACAAATAGAAACAAATGCAACAATAAGATGTAAGGTGCTACTGTATTAAATACACAATTACAATAACTAAACGTTATAAAATAGATACTTAAATTTTATATAGATCAGGAAAACTAATAACTTAAGTAAGAATTCATGCATATTACTAACAAGGCATCATGCTGTAATGAAACCAATTTATGGATTATGTTAATGATAACTTTTAATATACATACAAACCGCACATAATGTAAACTAATTCAGACAAAATATTTTTATAGTTCGATATTATTTTTACATAAACGTAATTTATAAAGTAAAATTTAGTAGCATTTCATGAAAACCAACATAAAATAATGAAGATCTCCAAACAGTATGTTATAGAATTTAACTCTATAATTTATCTGTTTATAATTATGAAATTATTGAATAAAATACAATCAAATATGTAAAGTGACATATTTACTTAACATATTTGATTTTTTAGAACACATTAAAATTTTATTTAGATCAGAAGTCATCATTTGTTCTATACTTAATTTGATTTAAAAAAAATGTTGAGCAGCAATCAACTAAAATTTACAAAGTAGTTTTTTTCAAAAACAATCTTCAATAATTGAACAAAAATGGAATTCTATTACAGTATTAAAAATGTAATCTTACTAATTGTTGTGAATATAATATACTTTCAATTGTTCAACTTTACTAACTTGAAAGTTTTGATTATATAATCCAAATAGTGGTACTAATAAATGAAAATTACATTTACTTATATTTAAAATACTAATTTTATATTGAAATTTCGTAACATAATGTTAACAATTTTAAATGATGAATTGCTGTGAAGCACAGAGCATTTACTAAAATTCATACAAATATTAAAATATTACCTAAATATAATCATATAAGTTGAACATTTTCTAATAATCAATATAACAGATTACAATCAAATTGTCAGAATGTAGCGCAAAGTAAGCTTGATTTGTTGCTTTTATTGCTTTCTT